TGCTTGCCTGCTTGCCTGCTTGCCTGCTTGCCTGCTTGCCTGCTTGCTTGCTTGCTTGCTTGGCTGGCTGGCTGGCTGTCTGTCGGTCTGTCTGTTTGTCTGTTTGTTTGTTTCTTTGTTTCTTTGTTGGCTGGGTGGTTTTGGTGGTGTTGTTGTTGGTGGTGGTTGGTGGTGGTCCTGGTGGTGGTTGGATGGGTGGTCGGTTTTGGGCTTTGCTGTGCATCCAGGATGGGGGCAAGCAGAGCACTCCAAAGCCAGACCTTGCCAAAGTGAAGACCTCCTCTCCCAAGCCAGCAGCCGAGCAAGTTGAGGGTTCTTGTGGTGCTGCAGGCAGAGTGAAGGCCACCTCTCCCAAGCCAGCAGCCGAGCAAGTTGAGGGTTCTTGCGGTGCTGCAGGCAGAGTGAAGGCCACCTCTCCCACGCCAGCAGCCGAGCAAGTTGAGGGTTCTTGTGGTGCTGCACGCAAAGTGAATGCCGCCTCTCCTAAGTCAGCAGCCGAGCAAGTTGAGGGTTCTCCGGGTGAGTCAGGCAAAGTGAAGGCCACCTCTCCTAAGCCAGCTGCCGAGCAAGTTGAAAGTTCTTGTGGTGCTGTAGCCAAGGTGAAGGTCACCTCTCCCAAGCTTGCAGCCGAGCAAGTTGAGAGTTCTCCTGTTGCTTCCTTTCAAGTGAAGGCCACCTCTCCTAAGCCAGCAGCCGTGCAAGTTGAGAGTTCTCCTTGTGATGGAGCCGAAGTGAATACCACCTCTCGCAAGCCAGCAGCAGACCTGTCTCTCGAGACCCCTGAGAAGACAAGCAGGAGAGTTGGCACTGCAGGGCGTGTGGGCTTTGGAGGGTGCACAACAAAAGCGAAAGTTTGCAAGGTGTGCGGTACTGGCAGGAATTCTAGTTTCCGCAATGCCTTGTGCGGAGATTGTGAGACCAGCCTGAAAAGGCGCCATGCGCGGGCCGAAGCCAACTGGACCCATGAGATCATTGAAGCAGTGAAGGAAGAGTCGGCCAACAAGCGGATGAAGCGAAGCTTGTATCCTCCATAGAGCACATGTTTCTTTTGCATCTGTTTTTATGTAGCTTGATCTTTTTCGAAAATTGTTCGCTGTCTAAGCTTCAAATTCAGAGGAGCCAGCGATGTTAAGATGACTCCTTCTGAGAGAATGATCTTTGAGTGCCAGCAAGAGATCCTGAGGCGTTTGAAGCAGTCTCACTGATTTAGACCCACTCTGTGATAGCACATGGTGGTTTGGGGCCCGGGGTTTCAAGACTGCAGGGGAGTGCAGTAGAGAAGTCGAGTGTGCAGAATGTCGTGAGGTGTGAAGCGTGTTTTTTGATGTTGTTCTGTGACTGTTCGCTCTGTGCTGTATGAGGGCGACTGATTGTTATAGTAGGTATTGCGTACTATCAAAATACTATACTACGGACTACAGATTTTCATATTTTTCAGAGTGATTGTCGCTAGCGTAGGCGCTAGAGATCCGCTAGCAGAATGTGCACGCAGATGACATCTGTGAGTAGTTCGCCTTTTGCGGCCCAAAGTGAATGTCCTTACGCTATGATGTTGACACCTGTGGAAAGAAAACGGTTGAGAGACGCAGGCCGAGATGCTTTTTACCGACAATTTGGAAAGCAAAGAGACAACAGCCTAGAAAGGAACGCGAAGCAGCAAAAGGGAGAGAATGCCAGGCGGCGAGATTTGGACAACTGGAAGAGGACTGAATGCTCCCAACGGTTTCAATCTTTGCCCAGATCCGAACAATTAGAACTTCTTCCCGAATACGAAGCGTACCACCGAGATGAGGACGCTAGAGAACGTGCTCCTGATGTGGAAATGTGTGCTGACGATCCAGTGTCTGCGAAAGAGAACTTGCCCTCCAGACGACGACGAGGTAGACGTTTGGGCAAATTCAGTACAGCAAGCAACGTTAACTGGTCCAAGAACAAGATGATACGGGACATTTTTGAGGGCCTTAATGCTCGCAAGAGTGGCGCAACAGAGATAGCCAACTTTCTTGCGCTTTTACTACGCAAAGCTGCTTCGATGTATCCGGGTCTTGCTGATGAACTTCAAACATTGGGCTTGAGCATGTCATGCCGGTGCAGGGATCTGGCCACCGTGCTCTCAGAACTTAGCCAGAATCTGCCCTCGAGACCACAAGGTGAGGACTGCTTTTGTGCAATCCGTGCAGAAGGGTTGCTTTAAAAATAGGAGGTCGGCCAAGCAATTTGGAATTCACATTTCCCGGAGAGTGTGGCGAACTGCTTCTACTACGCCCAAGCCCGTGTCTCGGTTGGGTAGGCCGAGGATTCGAGATGACCCTGCTGTGGTGGATTTGGTGAAAAGTTCTGCCCTACGAAACTCGGTGGAGACATCCAAGTTTATGTTGGTGCCTTCGCAGAATGCCAAGAGCAAGGAAGCGGAAGCTGTCCCGTGGCAATGTTCATTCTTGCTTTGGTTGTTCCATAGGGTTTTGTACGCAAGAGATCGCTATAGCACAACATGAAGATTGAAGACATGTTCATCGCTAAGGTTGTGGTGAGACGTTGGACTAGCAGCCCTTTGCAGATCTACTTGGAAGACGAGCAGTTGCTTGCAAAGATGAGCTATATGAGTTTCACGCGCATTGTACGAGCAGAGTGCCCTCATGTAAGGCGCGGGCATGGTTTGACCGACTATTGCGACCACTGCGCCATGTTCTCGGGAAAGATCTTGCCGTTCTTGGGACCGAAAAAGCTTTTTCTTCAGTAGGATTACTTTTTGGAAGTAGCGTAATGCGGGGGTTGTTGCCTTCTCCGAGTCAGGAAAGTGAACAGCTTCATTGCCAACATGCGCGCCGATCTCCATGCAACCTATGACAAGTACTTCCAGCATTTCGATGACGCAGAAACTGTTGCTTCAGACAACCCAGACCCAGCTTCCCTGTGCCGCAAATATTTGTTGTACGTCAACCAGCACACACAGAAATACAGAAAAGAGCTTCAAGCGGTTTCACGCAAGTTGATCTTCGCCTTGCATGAAAAGGAAGGACCTTTGGAGTATGAGCTGCAGTGGCTTTGCAAGCTTGTTGCAGCTTACCAATTCCACAGAGTCAGTTCCAATTTGCAAAGCGATGCCTGCTCTGCCCACATTGACGCGCTTGGGCCTGGTGAGGCCATTTTGTGGTGTGATTGGAAACAAAATTTGAGCATACCAATGACACACGTGCAGACAGGTGACCAATACTGGGCCACTGCAAGAGCAGAGGTCTCATGTTTTGGAGCAGTGCTGTTCCTAGGCCAGGAAGCAGAAAGACCTCGGAAGATCAACGTTCTCCTGCTATCGGACATAATAGAGCATACAGCGCTGGCGGCGTCACAGCAATTGAGCATTCTCGCCAAGGAGTTGCGCGATGTCTCTTCGATTACTTGTTGGTTTGATGCGGGCCCTCATTTTCGAACATATTCTTTGTTGGCCTGGTTTCCGGAAGAACTTGTGCGTGGAAAGAGCTTAAAGCTGTCTGTGAACTGGTACCTCATGTTGGCTTAAAACTACTTTTGCTGATTGTTTATGATCACGTTGTTCCTTCTCTGTTTAGAAACTCTCATTTTCGCATAGCCCCCCTGACCTAAAGTAATCGTGCAGTGAATGCGACCTTCCCACTGCCTAGGTTCGTCGAAAAGCATGGAAAAGGTTTGGTGGATTCACTGTTCAGCATGTGCAACGCCTGGCTACAACGGGCACTAAAGCATCCAAGCTGCAACATCACTACCGTGAAGGAAATGGTGTCCACCTTGAAGAGTCAAGCTGCCATCGATCAGAAGAATGATCCTGGTGGCCTACGGTATGTTGTTCGTGAGTGGGTGAGCAAGCAAAAGCCCACGCATGAGTGGGTGGGAACAGCAGATGCTTCCTTTCAGGTTACAAAGACGTACTCTGTTCGAGCAGAGTCCTTTGGAGGGACTTCGCAATATGTTCGCTGGCACAATTGCTATTTCTCTCACTCAGCAGCGCGACAGCCTACTGTTTTCATTATTGAAGCCAGTCAAGTGGCGATCAAGAACAGAGAGTGGCGCAGAGGCTTCTTCACAACGCCACGCTGGAAAAGAGATGTCCCAGAGAGAGGCACTGGCAATGCAATCCTAGAACGCCACAGAGTTTTGGAAACACATTGGCCAGAGAATGAAGATTCATTTATAAGCTTCGAGAAGAGGATTGCTCGGTACCAAAAGAACTTGCAGCGAGCTCGGCAGCGAAAGCATCGGCAAAGACAAGTCGTTCAAGAGAAACGATTGAGTGCTGCTGGAGAAAGTTCCAGCAGCGACTCTAGCAGTGACAGCAACTCTTCGTGAGAGCAAAGGTCGTTAGCAAATGTGTGGAGCTCTTCTCACTTTAGGACAGGCATATGTTTTTCCAAGCGTTTCAACAACATTCAGAGGTATATGGATTTTCATTTGGCAGTTGAAGCGGCGCGCGTGGAATTGCGACTTAGCAACGGTTTTGGGCAAAGGACTTTTGATAGACCGTCATTTAACATTTTGCCAGAAAGACTTCATGTTCAACATTCAGTTCGAGTTTTGGCGTCCTAGATGGGAAGACCAACTTCGATGGCAATGGCAGCCTTGAAGAAGCTAGCGCTCCCTGCAACATGTGACGTGAAAAGTGACGTTGAGAAGCTCTGTTTTTTGGCCGGCGGCGGCGTGGTGGAGAAACCGACATTAACTTCAAGCCCAAACTTGAACTTTCTGGTGACGGTGATTGGGCATCGCACAAGGCTTCAACTAATCATCGTCGCGAGCTGCATTTATAGCCCCTGCAGGGCCAAGACTTGAGATGCATTGTCAAGCATGGAAGCAGAGATTCTCTCAAGCGCAGGTTTGGTGTCAGAAGGCCTTCAGACCAGCAGCGCCTGCATCTCTTGGCTGGGTTAGAGTGCAACTCGAAAGTTTGCATGGACCTTGCGACCCGAATTCTCTGGGGAACACATGGGTAAAAGACGTGGCTGGTTTGACGTTGGATGGATTTCAACACAACGCACCCCAGCTGACTTGGATACAAAGCTGTTGCCCAAAGAGCGTCGTGGGCAGTTGTGCAATGAAGATTGGCTTCGATTCTGCGTCTTACCAGGAGCATGATCAACTACCCCTGCATCTTGGACAGATGGCGCGACTTTTGCAGTTGGCGACATCAGACTCTTCAGTCATGGCACCTTGGACGGTGGCGATACACCTTGTGACGGTGAGTGGAGTTGCGATCCAGCGACTATGGAAGAAGTTGATGGAGTTGGTTCATTTCAAGATCATCTTCACCAAATTTCGGGCAGAATTTGACGCATGGTGAGCTGATTCAGCATGATGAAAGTTATGATCGATGGGTGAGCGTGGCTGCAGCTACATCAGAGACTGAGTGCAGCGCAGGCCAAGATGATCGCGAGGATCAACTTTGAAAGGGCGCAGGAGATGGCGACTGCGCGCGTAAAGAAGAAGAGGAAGCAGATCCACGATGCGCCGTGACCTTGGAAAGACGAAGATCAAGAAGAAAGACAAGAAGAACCAGGGCCAGCAGACTATCCTGGTCATACACATGTTCCAGCGTTGCGCGAGCTGATGAGTTTCTTGACTGACGCAGCATCTCGAATCAAAACAGCTGGCTTCAATGACTACAGATGGTGTTTGCTTGCGCAAGGTCGATGCCCAGAACTTGAATTCGTGGCGATGCGTCGACAGGTGGCAAGGTTGATCCGTCAGATTGAGAAACAGGAGGAGAAAGTCGAAACAAGAGAACGAGTATGTTACATGTTGAAGAAGGCGAAGATGGAGGCAACCAAGAGTTTCTTTGAAAGCTTCGGATCGTGCGCTACAGGATGATGCAGACGGTGAGTTCTATGTACGCAGCCATCCTGGAATTTGATGCAGGTGTGCGCATGTTGCGCGCAAGTGGCAAGAGAGCGGCGCTACACTCGACTTCTTTGATGACTGGGCGGGCAAGCGTCGTGATACCCGACTATGAGAAGCTGGCGGCGCCGGCGCGACCAGCGTCTTTGCAAGTGAAGAGGGCGCAAGTGAAGTTCTTCGAATCATTGGCCGCCGAACAGAGGCCACAGTCAGTCAGAGTTAGAGACCAAGCTTGCTCAGGTGGAGCAAATCGATAGGTTGGAATGCGATGGCCGAGATTCCAACCGAATCTTTCACCGAGAGCCATGGTGGAGCAAATGAATCCGCCGACGTGGAGGCGGAGGAAGTGGCAGTGGAAGAAGAAACGCCAACAACCAGAGCAAGTTTCAGGAAGTTTCAATTTCAGTTTTTGCTCCAAAGACGAGTTGACAGGCTTTAAATCATGCACGTGAGAGAGACAACGCGAAAATTATTTGGAGGCGGGGTGTCAGATTTGGGCATGACCCCAGCACAAGGATGACGCGCACAGACAAATAGACATAGAAGTGCACAAGGCCGCAGCCAGTGGCTCGAAAACAGAAGAATAACCTGACGGTGGCTTTTGTCAAACCAATCTTTGTTTCAACGCTTCGCGCTATGTGGTCGTTCTGAGGTGTTGTGTTTGGTTCGCCAGCGTTGGAAGTGCCAATGCCACCGGAGGCCAGAAAACTCAAGTTGACTTCACGCGCGGTCCATTTATGGAAGCAAACTGTGCTGTCACTTTGTGCCTATGCTGTCCTTACAAGGAGTCGAGAACATACCAAGTTTCCGCAGCAGTGGGCTTTGACTCAGCAATGGCAATGGGCTGCATACATTACTGTACACCAGTAGTATGTTCACATATGTTCATATCAATGTTTGTGGAGGAGGATGTCTCGGTGTATGTAAATCAGGATTGATGTATTTATATATATATATATATAGCAAAAACATTCCCAATTACATCAAACATTCCATTGCTGGATTACGACTGGGCCGTATGCTGACACTGACCAGGACACTGGCCGGTTGAATCACGTCAATCATTGATGGCTTCTGGAGACTCCTATGTAAGGCTGACATTCAAGAGAACAATGGTTGGCGGTGATGTTTCCAAATTTATTTTGATTTTTGGTCAGTCAAAGATCTAGACTTGAGACTCAAAGGTTGAATGCAACTATATACCAACGTTAGAAGCAGGTGATCTAAGAAACAGCAACCAGAGGGAGAAAGAGAGAGGGAGAGAAAAAATACACAACAGAAGAACCACCACCTGTACTAAAGTAACAACATCCAGAAAGGTGGACGCGTACGGTGAAAAGTTGCTGTATGAGTCTAGGACGCTATCGCGTCGCTAAAGTGACTGGTAAGCCTTGGACAAGGATCGAACCTCAGGATCAGAGCTGGTCAAACTGTAGAGTGTGCCAATTTTTCCAGCGCCAATTTCATGAATGACATTCAGTCTTGTGCTAGTTTAGAAAGGAGAAAGTGTGATTCTTCATTTGGTGTGTAGAGTCACCTGCTCAAGGCCCGCATGGAGGATTTCACTTGCACAATCCCCTGTTGTTTGTGCCTGTGTTGCACTGTTGGACTTGTTGTTCTTGTCATGCTGACGCAGATGCCACATCCTCAGACGAACCTCGTTGCATGTGGGCCGCGTTATGTTTGACAACAAAAGATTGTTTGAACAATAACAGACAAAAGTTGAACTAACGTGAAATAACCGCAAAGAAAAGAACAACCGCAAAAGGACTCTCACCGGAGTTGCAACAATCTTGCCCAGGCTGGGATCAGCGATGCCTATTCTTGGCATGGTACTTCCAGCTGTGTGTTTTGGCGGCTTTTCATATATTTTAATCTACATTGAATGACAAGCTCCGTTTTTGTTTGGGGGTAGTTGCCCTGTGGGGGGGTTATGGGTAGGGAAGTAGGTGCTGCCGAGCTGACACTACAATCCGCTGGAACATAGAGCGTCATGGACCATCCTGCACATGCCACGCCCTAGGTTTGCCGTTCTTGGCTGCGCTGTAGCGGGTTGTGGTTGGCTTCACGAAGCTCGAGTTGTCTGGGACTCGCTACTATGCTGTGTTGCGGACAACACCGAGAAAACTGTCTGCCAAAGAGGGAAGAATTTTGAAAATGAGTCCAATTGCACTGACTTTGCAGTAAACTTTCAGCACCTTTCCGCGTTTTTGCCTCCTTCACCCTGCATTGGCCAAGGGGGCAAAGTGATGCTTCGATAATTTACGTCGTGCTAATCTCTTTCAATCGAACATGTAACATAAGATGGCTTGAGCGGGCTTTATCTCAAACGAGATGAAGGATGTTCAAATGTACAAAGCCAAAGTGACGAGAAACCTACGGTGAGCCAGTGTACGAAAAAAGTGGAAATTGCAAATCCATTCAATCAAACAGACTTGATTGGATGCTTAGCAGAGAAACTCTCTCAGCATGATTGATTGATAGGTTCTTGAATTCTGTTGCTGCAGGCAGTGTCATGCCTTCTTCGCAACTTTGTGTGGTGCTCAACGATATCTGCCGCAAAGCAGCTGTAGCTAGGGGGTGTTGCGAGATCATGTAGTTATGCCATCGCCACGCACAGTTGCGCACATTTGGTGAATCCTGGGAGCACTCTCGTTTTGATTTGGCACATTGATGCACATTGTAACGACCGAAGCAGCTGCTACAGAACTGCTTTCTTTATCCAATCTCATTCAGCCATGTGCCATGTCACAAATGTACACAAGTCCCAAAGCCCCTTGTTAGCAATTTTACCATACTCCCCTGGTCATTCCAAGGGGCTGGGCCAAGAGTAAGTTTCCTTTTTTACTTGTTTTGAATTTCTCTTTCGTTAGCTGAGCAGGGCCTACGGCTTACAGCTCCTGGTCTATTCCTGGGGAATGGACATGTTCATGCAGCTTCCGGGGCCCGGTAACTCCACTTCCTCATTGGTCTGGAGTCTGGAGGAGTGTAGAAGCTTCTGGCAAGTTGGTCTATTCCACCAGCCTTTTCAACTTTGATTTAGTTCACTCTATGTTGCCCTTCTAATCACACAGTGACACTTGATCGGTGAGCTTGGAGGTTGTCCCATGCTTTTCGCGCTACTCCATGCCAGCATTTCTGAGCTCCAGCAGCAAAGTTCAGTACAGCCACTCATATCTTCTCAGCACCTCAGCTGAAAGGCAGTTGTGCCAGAGCTAAGCATCATAAGTGTGTTTTCTTGGGTGTGCCGCTAAGAGGAGGGGGATACACGAAGCTTGTAGTTCAGTAAGGTAAGAAGTAGCCATGGGACGCACAAGAACATTTGCATCTAAGCGTGTTCCCTTTCATTTTCAGTCGTGTCAATGGTTTCAAGATGTTTCAAGATACTTTGTTGTGATCATGGGAGAGAGCCATTGTTTGTTTCCAGTCTCTCTCTCTCTATATGTGTGTGTTTCTGT